TTGGTGAAGAAATGAGTGTGGGACTTGAGAGGTTTGAAGCTTGGAAGTGTAGAGAGAGGGAGATACAATTCAAGAGGGTTGAGGCAAATTTTGTAACCCTCAAACCAGCAGCTGGAGCTGCTATTATATATACAAAAGAAGGGAAAAAAAAGGGGGGAAAAATGGAGGGAAATTAATCAATTTTCCCCCCAAAAGGGCCAAACCCTCGGACATGGGTGAAGTGTAAAACAAAATACATGGCTAGAATGCACTTGGGAGAAGGATCATGGCCGGCTAGTTTAAATGGGCAAAAAAGATCATCCACCAGAAAAATGTGGCCAGCCGGCTACTTTTTCTGACTTTTCTGGCCGGCCTGCTACTTTTCAGGAAAAAAAAATGGGCTTCCGGGAAGAAATGTGGCCTGTGGGTGATTGGAAAGTCCAATGGTGGCCATTCAAGTGTCCAAATTGAAGCCCCGGAAGTTATATTTCCAATGGCGCAAAATTTGCATTAAAATTCTTCCTGTGGAAAAAGTTATACCCGTTTCCGTGAAGCCGCGCAGATTCGGTCCCAGCCGGAATGATGCCCTACTTCAATCAACCATATCTCCCCTATCCGGAATTGGATTTAGGAGATTCTTGAGTGAAAAATGAAGCCCCAGGAGTAAGATTTCCAACGGTGGTGGCCTCATAGCTTGATTCCAAGTATGTGAATGAATAGGCCCGATTCGGCGAGGGCTGTTCAATTCTCTCTTAATGATTCATGCCCATTTTCTTCCCTAACTGGACTTCTTCCCTCTTCTCCTATTTTCTTCAACTTCAAACCCCTAAGTAAGGTATTTTGAAAGATTTTTCAAAGATTTCATCTCTCCTTCATTCATTTCCACTTTGTCCTTGCTCGGTTTACCGAAAAGCACAACTTTTAACAGAATACGAGCGTCAGAACATCGTAGGAACTTTATTTCAAAAACGTTTTTGAGAGAGAGGGTTTTAAGACTAAAATCTTTTGATCAAGATTGCTTTGGTCTAGAACATGGGTATGAAATTGAGATTTGACTCTCTCTTTGCCGAAGAAATTGCACCTTTCCCCTGCACACCTTTCTCCACCAAGTAAACCATCAGTCACGTCCAAGTCTTAAAGGTAGTTAAAAATGGGGTGTCTACAACCCCCCAAAACAGTCTGGGCATTGATGAAGAAAGTTGAAGAGTATTGCAAAGTGGAAGATGATGCCTTGAGAATAAAAGCAGGCCAAATGTCCAACAAAACGGCCCCCCCTGAAATTGCTCAACCAATAAGTTCCGCGCCACCTCCTAGCCCAGAGCCTCGGCAACGCGCTAAATGAGACAAAAGGCAGGATACTCACCGATCAAGCGATCAATGCTCCCACCGGACGAATGAACAACTGCAAGTCGACAGCAGGCGTTCGAGGCGTACCGACAAGAAGTACACAGAGTTGTCAGAACCAATTGCTGCAATAATGACCAAAGTCCAACACCTTCCATTCTTCAAATGGCCGTCAAAGATGGTGGGGCCGCCCGACATGCGAAGAAGGGATAGGCGGTGCGAATATCACAAAGATCACAACCACGAAACGAAAAGTTGTTACGCATTAAAAGATCACCTGGAGGAGCTGGTGCAAGACGGCCGACTACAATAGTATGTGAGAAAGGGAAAGCCAACCAAGGCACTAGCCTTGAGGCAGAACTCACCTCCACTTGGTGTGATCCATATGATTTACAGCTTGCCTGCACCCCCAACCGTGCACACAATTCAGTCGCATCCAATCCCCCAAAAACAACGTATTCCGACTGAATGGCCCAAAGAAGCTCCGACAATTACTTACAATGACTCCGATCTTAGCGGCACAACAGCTTCCAACATCGATCCGTCGGTCATTAAATTACGCATAAATCGGTTCAACATTGAACGCATTCTCATAGACCCGGGGAGTACTTCAGAGGTTATGTATTACCAAACTTTCATCAAACTCGGCCTCAACGAGTCAGATCTGTCTCCGACGCCTCACCCCATTGTTCGGCTTTAATATGAATCCTGAATACCCGTTAGAAAAGATCATACTACCTGTTCGAGCGGGCTCCAGAACGGTCGAAGTAGAATTCCAGGTCGTAAAGCTCCCTTCGCCGTATAATGTCATCATGGGGCAAACTTGGATACATATTATGAAGGCCGTTCCAAGCACTTATCATCAGCTTGTGCGCTTCCTGATAGCCTATGGCATTGAAGAGATCCGTGGCTCCCCCCAATCGGCACAAGCAGAGATTTAACGAAAACCCTATCATTGACCCGACCTGTGGGCTTTGATACTTGTATATATATATCACTTCTGCAATGCAAACCATTTTTCTTCGTGGCTCCATTCATTTCTCAAAGCCCCCTTGGGTGCATGACACCTTAGGACTGATTAAAGTCTCCGGATTCGGAGCCCTCTTTGGTGCATGACACCTTAGGGCCGATTAAAGTCTCCGAATTCGGAGCGCCCTTCGTGGATATCACGATTGGTGAAACTCAGTCTCCGGATTCGTAGCCCCCTTGGGTGCATGACACCTTAGGGCCGATTAAAGTCTTCAGATTCAGAGCGCCCTTTGTGGATATCACGATTGGCCAAACCAAGTCTCCTGATTCGGAGCCCCCCCTTTGGTGCATGACACCTTAGGGCCGACTAAGTCTCCGGATTCAGAGCCCCCTGGGGTGCATGACACCTTAGGGTCGATTAAAGTCTCCGGATTCGGAGCGCCCTTCGTGGATATCATGATTGGCCAAACTAAGTCTCCGGATTCGGAGCCCTCTTGGGTGCATGACACCTTAGGGCTGATTAAAGTCTCCGGATTCGGAGCACCCTTCGTGGATACGACGATTGGCCAAACTAAGTCTCCGGATTCGGAGCCCCCCCTTTGGTGCATGACACCTTAGGGCCGATTAAAGTCTCCGGATTCAGAGCGCCCTTCGTGGATATCACGATTGGCCAAACTAAGTCTCCGGATTCAGAGCCCCCCCTTTGGTGCATGAAACCTTAGGGCCGACTAAGTCTTCGGATTCGAAGCCCCCTGGGGTGTATGACACCTTAGGGCCGATTAAAGTCTCTGGATTCGGAGCGCCCTTCATGGATATCACGATTGGCCAAACTAAGTCTCCGGATTCGGAGCGCCCTTTGTGGATATCACGATTGGCCAAACTAAGTCTCCGGATTCGGAGCCCCATTGGGTGCATGACACCTTAGGGCCGATTAAAGTGTCCGGATTCGGAGCGCCCTTCGTGGATATCACGATTGGCCAAACCAAGTCTCCGGATTCGGAGCCCCCCCTTTGGTGCATGACACCTTAGGGCCGACTAAGTCTCCGAATTCGGAGCCCCCTGGGGTGCATGAAACCTTAGGGCTGATTAAAGTCTCCGGATTCGGAGCGCCCTTCGTGGATATCACGATTGGCCAAACTAAGTCTCCAGATTCGGAGTGCCCTTCGTGGATATCATGATTGGCCAAAATAGGTTTCCAGATTCAGAGTCCCCTTGGGTGCATGACACCTTAGGGACGATTAAAGTCTCTGGATTCGGAGCGCCCTTCGTGGATATCACGATTGGCCAAATTAAGTCTCCGGATTTGGAGCCCCCTTGGGTGCATGACACCTTAGGGCCGATTAAAGTCTCCGGATTTGGAGCGCCCTTCGTGGATATCACGATCGGCCAAACTAAGTCTCCAGATTCGGAGCCCTCCCTTTTGGTGCATGACACCTTAGGGCCGACTAAGTCTCCGGATTCGGAGCCCCCTTGGGTGCATGACACCTTAGGGCTGATTAAAGTCTCCGAATTCAGAGCACCTTTCGTGGATATCACGATTGGCCAAACTAAGTCTCCGGATTCGGAGCGCCCTTCATGGATATCACGATTGGCCAAACTAAGTCTCTGGATTCGGAGCCCCCTTGGGTGCATGACACCTTAGGGCCGATTAAAGTCTCCGGATTCGGAGCGCCCTTCGTGGATATCACGATTGGCCAAACCACGTCTCCGGATTCGGAGCCCCCCCTTTGGTGCATGACACCTTAGGGCCGACTAAGTCTCTGGATTCGGAGCCCCCTGGGGTGCATGACACCTTAGGGCCGATTAAAGTCTCCGGATTCGGAGCGCCCTTCGTGGATATCACGATTGACCAAACTAAGTCTCCGAATTCGAAGCCCCCTTGGGTGCATGACACGTTAGGGCCAATTAGAATCTCCGGATTCGGAGCGCCCTTCGTGGATATCACGATTAGCCAAACTAAGTCTCCGGATTTGGAGCCCCCTTGGGTGGATGACACCTTAGGGCCGATTAAAGTCTCCGGATTCGGAGCGCCTTTCGTGGATATCACGATTGGCCAAACCAAGTCTCCGGATTCGGAGCCCCCCATTTGGTGCATGACACCTTAGGGCCGACTAAGTCTCCGGATTCGGAGCCCCCCGGGGTGCATGACACCTTAGGGCCGATTAAAGTCTCCGGATTCGGAGCGCCCTTCGTGGGTATCACGATTGGCCAAACTAAGTCTCTGGATTCAGAGCCCCCCTTGGGTGCATGACACCTTAGGGCCGACTAAGTCTCCGGATTCGGAGCGCCCTGGGGTGCATGACACCTTAGGGCCGATTAAAGTCTCCGGATTCGGAGCCCCCTTTGGTGCATGACACCTTAGGGCCGATTAAAGTCTCCGGATTCGGAGTGCCCTTCATGGATATCACGATTGGGCAAACTAAGTCTCCGGATTTGGAGCCCCATTGGGTGCATGACACCTTAGGGCCGATTAAAGTCTCCGGATTCGGAACCCCCTTTGGTGCATGACGCCTTAGGGCCGACTAAGACTCCGGATTCGGAGCCCCCTTTGGTGCATGACACCTAAGTGCCGATTTAGCCTCTAAATTCCGAGTACCCTTTGGCACGAACAAAACAAAACTCGCCAACATCAGAAATAAGGTGCTCAACTAAGCATATAAAAAATTCAGAATAAAACGTAAATGTTCGAAATAAAGCTTTTTATTCGATCAAACTGTTGTTACATAAACGCAACCTGCATTTGAGCATTACAATTTTTATTTAATCACATAGTTGTTACATAAACGCAACTTGCATTTGAGCATTACAATACCCATATTTTAACTTCGAAGTAAGTGGACTTGCAAGTTGTTGACGGCAAGCAACAGAAACAAGAAAATAAATTTTAACTTCGAAGTAAGTGGACTTGCAAGTTGTTGACGGCAAGCAACAGAAACAAGAAAATAAATTTTAACTTCGAAGTAAGTGGACTTGCAAGTTGTTGACGGCAAGCAACAGAAACAAGAAAATAAATTTTAACTTCGAAGTAAGTGGACTTGCAAGTTGTTGACGGCAAGCAACAGAAACAAGAAAATAAATTTTAACTTCGAAGTAAGTGGACTTGCAAGTTGTTGACGGCAAGCAACAGAAACAAGAAAATAAATTTTAACTTCGAAGTAAGTGGACTTGCAAGTTGTTGACGGCAAGCAACAGAAACAAGAAAATAAATTTTAACTTCGAAGTAAGTGGACTTGCAAGTTGTTGACGGCAAGCAACAGAAACAAGAAAATAAATTTTAACTTCGAAGTAAGTGGACTTGCAAGTTGTTGACGGCAAGCAACAGAAACAAGAAAATAAATTTTAACTTCGAAGTAAGTGGACTTGCAAGTTGTTGACGGCAAGCAACAGAAACAAGAAAATAAATTTTAACTTCGAAGTAAGTGGACTTGCAAGTTGTTGACGGCAAGCAACAGAAACAAGAAAATAAATTTTAACTTCGAAGTAAGTGGACTTGCAAGTTGTTGACGGCAAGCAACAGAAACAAGAAAATAAATTTTAACTTCGAAGTAAGTGGACTTGCAAGTTGTTGACGGCAAGCAACAGAAACAAGAAAATAAATTTTAACTTCGAAGTAAGTGGACTTGCAAGTTGTTGACGGCAAGCAACAGAAACAAGAAAATAAATTTTAACTTCGAAGTAAGTGGACTTGCAAGTTGTTGACGGCAAGCAACAGAAACAAGAAAATAAATTTTAACTTCGAAGTAAGTGGACTTGCAAGTTGTTGACGGCAAGCAACAGAAACAAGAAAATAAATTTTAACTTCGAAGTAAGTGGACTTGCAAGTTGTTGACGGCAAGCAACAGAAACAAGAAAATAAATTTTAACTTCGAAGTAAGTGGACTTGCAAGTTGTTGACGGCAAGCAACAGAAACAAGAAAATAAATTTTAACTTCGAAGTAAGTGGACTTGCAAGTTGTTGACGGCAAGCAACAGAAACAAGAAAATAAATTTTAACTTCGAAGTAAGTGGACTTGCAAGTTGTTGACGGCAAGCAACAGAAACAAGAAAATAAATTTTAACTTCGAAGTAAGTGGACTTGCAAGTTGTTGACGGCAAGCAACAGAAACAAGAAAATAAATTTTAACTTCGAAGTAAGTGGACTTGCAAGTTGTTGACGGCAAGCAACAGAAACAAGAAAATAAATTTTAACTTCGAAGTAAGTGGACTTGCAAGTTGTTGACGGCAAGCAACAGAAACAAGAAAATAAATTTTAACTTCGAAGTAAGTGGACTTGCAAGTTGTTGACGGCAAGCAACAGAAACAAGAAAATAAATTTTAACTTCGAAGTAAGTGGACTTGCAAGTTGTTGACGGCAAGCAACAGAAACAAGAAAATAAATTTTAACTTCGAAGTAAGTGGACTTGCAAGTTGTTGACGGCAAGCAACAGAAACAAGAAAATAAATTTTAACTTCGAAGTAAGTGGACTTGCAAGTTGTTGACGGCAAGCAACAGAAACAAGAAAATAAATTTTAACTTCGAAGTAAGTGGACTTGCAAGTTGTTGACGGCAAGCAACAGAAACAAGAAAATAAATTTTAACTTCGAAGTAAGTGGACTTGCAAGTTGTTGACGGCAAGCAACAGAAACAAGAAAATAAATTTTAACTTCGAAGTAAGTGGACTTGCAAGTTGTTGACGGCAAGCAACAGAAACAAGAAAATAAATTTTAACTTCGAAGTAAGTGGACTTGCAAGTTGTTGACGGCAAGCAACAGAAACAAGAAAATAAATTTTAACTTCGAAGTAAGTGGACTTGCAAGTTGTTGACGGCAAGCAACAGAAACAAGAAAATAAATTTTAACTTCGAAGTAAGTGGACTTGCAAGTTGTTGACGGCAAGCAACAGAAACAAGAAAATAAATTTTAACTTCGAAGTAAGTGGACTTGCAAGTTGTTGACGGCAAGCAACAGAAACAAGAAAATAAATTTTAACTTCGAAGTAAGTGGACTTGCAAGTTGTTGACGGCAAGCAACAGAAACAAGAAAATAAATTTTAACTTCGAAGTAAGTGGACTTGCAAGTTGTTGACGGCAAGCAACAGAAACAAGAAAATAAATTTTAACTTCGAAGTAAGTGGACTTGCAAGTTGTTGACGGCAAGCAACAGAAACAAGAAAATAAATTTTAACTTCGAAGTAAGTGGACTTGCAAGTTGTTGACGGCAAGCAACAGAAACAAGAAAATAAATTTTAACTTCGAAGTAAGTGGACTTGCAAGTTGTTGACGGCAAGCAACAGAAACAAGAAAATAAATTTTAACTTCGAAGTAAGTGGACTTGCAAGTTGTTGACGGCAAGCAACAGAAACAAGAAAATAAATTTTAACTTCGAAGTAAGTGGACTTGCAAGTTGTTGACGGCAAGCAACAGAAACAAGAAAATAAATTTTAACTTCGAAGTAAGTGGACTTGCAAGTTGTTGACGGCAAGCAACAGAAACAAGAAAATAAATTTTAACTTCGAAGTAAGTGGACTTGCAAGTTGTTGACGGCAAGCAACAGAAACAAGAAAATAAATTTTAACTTCGAAGTAAGTGGACTTGCAAGTTGTTGACGGCAAGCAACAGAAACAAGAAAATAAATTTTAACTTCGAAGTAAGTGGACTTGCAAGTTGTTGACGGCAAGCAACAGAAACAAGAAAATAAATTTTAACTTCGAAGTAAGTGGACTTGCAAGTTGTTGACGGCAAGCAACAGAAACAAGAAAATAAATTTTAACTTCGAAGTAAGTGGACTTGCAAGTTGTTGACGGCAAGCAACAGAAACAAGAAAATAAATTTTAACTTCGAAGTAAGTGGACTTGCAAGTTGTTGACGGCAAGCAACAGAAACAAGAAAATAAATTTTAACTTCGAAGTAAGTGGACTTGCAAGTTGTTGACGGCAAGCAACAGAAACAAGAAAATAAATTTTAACTTCGAAGTAAGTGGACTTGCAAGTTGTTGACGGCAAGCAACAGAAACAAGAAAATAAATTTTAACTTCGAAGTAAGTGGACTTGCAAGTTGTTGACGGCAAGCAACAGAAACAAGAAAATAAATTTTAACTTCGAAGTAAGTGGACTTGCAAGTTGTTGACGGCAAGCAACAGAAACAAGAAAATAAATTTTAACTTCGAAGTAAGTGGACTTGCAAGTTGTTGACGGCAAGCAACAGAAACAAGAAAATAAATTTTAACTTCGAAGTAAGTGGACTTGCAAGTTGTTGACGGCAAGCAACAGAAACAAGAAAATAAATTTTAACTTCGAAGTAAGTGGACTTGCAAGTTGTTGACGGCAAGCAACAGAAACAAGAAAATAAATTTTAACTTCGAAGTAAGTGGACTTGCAAGTTGTTGACGGCAAGCAACAGAAACAAGAAAATAAATTTTAACTTCGAAGTAAGTGGACTTGCAAGTTGTTGACGGCAAGCAACAGAAACAAGAAAATAAATTTTAACTTCGAAGTAAGTGGACTTGCAAGTTGTTGACGGCAAGCAACAGAAACAAGAAAATAAATTTTAACTTCGAAGTAAGTGGACTTGCAAGTTGTTGACGGCAAGCAACAGAAACAAGAAAATAAATTTTAACTTCGAAGTAAGTGGACTTGCAAGTTGTTGACGGCAAGCAACAGAAACAAGAAAATAAATTTTAACTTCGAAGTAAGTGGACTTGCAAGTTGTTGACGGCAAGCAACAGAAACAAGAAAATAAATTTTAACTTCGAAGTAAGTGGACTTGCAAGTTGTTGACGGCAAGCAACAGAAACAAGAAAATAAATTTTAACTTCGAAGTAAGTGGACTTGCAAGTTGTTGACGGCAAGCAACAGAAACAAGAAAATAAATTTTAACTTCGAAGTAAGTGGACTTGCAAGTTGTTGACGGCAAGCAACAGAAACAAGAAAATAAATTTTAACTTCGAAGTAAGTGGACTTGCAAGTTGTTGACGGCAAGCAACAGAAACAAGAAAATAAATTTTAACTTCGAAGTAAGTGGACTTGCAAGTTGTTGACGGCAAGCAACAGAAACAAGAAAATAAATTTTAACTTCGAAGTAAGTGGACTTGCAAGTTGTTGACGGCAAGCAACAGAAACAAGAAAATAAATTTTAACTTCGAAGTAAGTGGACTTGCAAGTTGTTGACGGCAAGCAACAGAAACAAGAAAATAAATTTTAACTTCGAAGTAAGTGGACTTGCAAGTTGTTGACGGCAAGCAACAGAAACAAGAAAATAAATTTTAACTTCGAAGTAAGTGGACTTGCAAGTTGTTGACGGCAAGCAACAGAAACAAGAAAATAAATTTTAACTTCGAAGTAAGTGGACTTGCAAGTTGTTGACGGCAAGCAACAGAAACAAGAAAATAAATTTTAACTTCGAAGTAAGTGGACTTGCAAGTTGTTGACGGCAAGCAACAGAAACAAGAAAATAAATTTTAACTTCGAAGTAAGTGGACTTGCAAGTTGTTGACGGCAAGCAACAGAAACAAGAAAATAAATTTTAACTTCGAAGTAAGTGGACTTGCAAGTTGTTGACGGCAAGCAACAGAAACAAGAAAATAAATTTTAACTTCGAAGTAAGTGGACTTGCAAGTTGTTGACGGCAAGCAACAGAAACAAGAAAATAAATTTTAACTTCGAAGTAAGTGGACTTGCAAGTTGTTGACGGCAAGCAACAGAAACAAGAAAATAAATTTTAACTTCGAAGTAAGTGGACTTGCAAGTTGTTGACGGCAAGCAACAGAAACAAGAAAATAAATTTTAACTTCGAAGTAAGTGGACTTGCAAGTTGTTGACGGCAAGCAACAGAAACAAGAAAATAAATTTTAACTTCGAAGTAAGTGGACTTGCAAGTTGTTGACGGCAAGCAACAGAAACAAGAAAATAAATTTTAACTTCGAAGTAAGTGGACTTGCAAGTTGTTGACGGCAAGCAACAGAAACAAGAAAATAAATTTTAACTTCGAAGTAAGTGGACTTGCAAGTTGTTGACGGCAAGCAACAGAAACAAGAAAATAAATTTTAACTTCGAAGTAAGTGGACTTGCAAGTTGTTGACGGCAAGCAACAGAAACAAGAAAATAAATTTTAACTTCGAAGTAAGTGGACTTGCAAGTTGTTGACGGCAAGCAACAGAAACAAGAAAATAAATTTTAACTTCGAAGTAAGTGGACTTGCAAGTTGTTGACGGCAAGCAACAGAAACAAGAAAATAAATTTTAACTTCGAAGTAAGTGGACTTGCAAGTTGTTGACGGCAAGCAACAGAAACAAGAAAATAAATTTTAACTTCGAAGTAAGTGGACTTGCAAGTTGTTGACGGCAAGCAACAGAAACAAGAAAATAAATTTTAACTTCGAAGTAAGTGGACTTGCAAGTTGTTGACGGCAAGCAACAGAAACAAGAAAATAAATTTTAACTTCGAAGTAAGTGGACTTGCAAGTTGTTGACGGCAAGCAACAGAAACAAGAAAATAAATTTTAACTTCGAAGTAAGTGGACTTGCAAGTTGTTGACGGCAAGCAACAGAAACAAGAAAATAAATTTTAACTTCGAAGTAAGTGGACTTGCAAGTTGTTGACGGCAAGCAACAGAAACAAGAAAATAAATTTTAACTTCGAAGTAAGTGGACTTGCAAGTTGTTGACGGCAAGCAACAGAAACAAGAAAATAAATTTTAACTTCGAAGTAAGTGGACTTGCAAGTTGTTGACGGCAAGCAACAGAAACAAGAAAATAAATTTTAACTTCGAAGTAAGTGGACTTGCAAGTTGTTGACGGCAAGCAACAGAAACAAGAAAATAAATTTTAACTTCGAAGTAAGTGGACTTGCAAGTTGTTGACGGCAAGCAACAGAAACAAGAAAATAAATTTTAACTTCGAAGTAAGTGGACTTGCAAGTTGTTGACGGCAAGCAACAGAAACAAGAAAATAAATTTTAACTTCGAAGTAAGTGGACTTGCAAGTTGTTGACGGCAAGCAACAGAAACAAGAAAATAAATTTTAACTTCGAAGTAAGTGGACTTGCAAGTTGTTGACGGCAAGCAACAGAAACAAGAAAATAAATTTTAACTTCGAAGTAAGTGGACTTGCAAGTTGTTGACGGCAAGCAACAGAAACAAGAAAATAAATTTTAACTTCGAAGTAAGTGGACTTGCAAGTTGTTGACGGCAAGCAACAGAAACAAGAAAATAAATTTTAACTTCGAAGTAAGTGGACTTGCAAGTTGTTGACGGCAAGCAACAGAAACAAGAAAATAAATTTTAACTTCGAAGTAAGTGGACTTGCAAGTTGTTGACGGCAAGCAACAGAAACAAGAAAATAAATTTTAACTTCGAAGTAAGTGGACTTGCAAGTTGTTGACGGCAAGCAACAGAAACAAGAAAATAAATTTTAACTTCGAAGTAAGTGGACTTGCAAGTTGTTGACGGCAAGCAACAGAAACAAGAAAATAAATTTTAACTTCGAAGTAAGTGGACTTGCAAGTTGTTGACGGCAAGCAACAGAAACAAGAAAATAAATTTTAACTTCGAAGTAAGTGGACTTGCAAGTTGTTGACGGCAAGCAACAGAAACAAGAAAATAAATTTTAACTTCGAAGTAAGTGGACTTGCAAGTTGTTGACGGCAAGCAACAGAAACAAGAAAATAAATTTTAACTTCGAAGTAAGTGGACTTGCAAGTTGTTGACGGCAAGCAACAGAAACAAGAAAATAAATTTTAACTTCGAAGTAAGTGGACTTGCAAGTTGTTGACGGCAAGCAACAGAAACAAGAAAATAAATTTTAACTTCGAAGTAAGTGGACTTGCAAGTTGTTGACGGCAAGCAACAGAAACAAGAAAATAAATTTTAACTTCGAAGTAAGTGGACTTGCAAGTTGTTGACGGCAAGCAACAGAAACAAGAAAATAAATTTTAACTTCGAAGTAAGTGGACTTGCAAGTTGTTGACGGCAAGCAACAGAAACAAGAAAATAAATTTTAACTTCGAAGTAAGTGGACTTGCAAGTTGTTGACGGCAAGCAACAGAAACAAGAAAATAAATTTTAACTTCGAAGTAAGTGGACTTGCAAGTTGTTGACGGCAAGCAACAGAAACAAGAAAATAAATTTTAACTTCGAAGTAAGTGGACTTGCAAGTTGTTGACGGCAAGCAACAGAAACAAGAAAATAAATTTTAACTTCGAAGTAAGTGGACTTGCAAGTTGTTGACGGCAAGCAACAGAAACAAGAAAATAAATTTTAACTTCGAAGTAAGTGGACTTGCAAGTTGTTGACGGCAAGCAACAGAAACAAGAAAATAAATTTTAACTTCGAAGTAAGTGGACTTGCAAGTTGTTGACGGCAAGCAACAGAAACAAGAAAATAAATTTTAACTTCGAAGTAAGTGGACTTGCAAGTTGTTGACGGCAAGCAACAGAAACAAGAAAATAAATTTTAACTTCGAAGTAAGTGGACTTGCAAGTTGTTGACGGCAAGCAACAGAAACAAGAAAATAAATTTTAACTTCGAAGTAAGTGGACTTGCAAGTTGTTGACGGCAAGCAACAGAAACAAGAAAATAAATTTTAACTTCGAAGTAAGTGGACTTGCAAGTTGTTGACGGCAAGCAACAGAAACAAGAAAATAAATTTTAACTTCGAAGTAAGTGGACTTGCAAGTTGTTGACGGCAAGCAACAGAAACAAGAAAATAAATTTTAACTTCGAAGTAAGTGGACTTGCAAGTTGTTGACGGCAAGCAACAGAAACAAGAAAATAAATTTTAACTTCGAAGTAAGTGGACTTGCAAGTTGTTGACGGCAAGCAACAGAAACAAGAAAATAAATTTTAACTTCGAAGTAAGTGGACTTGCAAGTTGTTGACGGCAAGCAACAGAAACAAGAAAATAAATTTTAACTTCGAAGTAAGTGGACTTGCAAGTTGTTGACGGCAAGCAACAGAAACAAGAAAATAAATTTTAACTTCGAAGTAAGTGGACTTGCAAGTTGTTGACGGCAAGCAACAGAAACAAGAAAATAATGATTTTAACTTCGAAGTCAGTGGACTTGCCTCTGGGTTTTTATGGGCACATAACAATTTCAATGATTTCAGTAAATCCTTGGTCAACATCTTTTGAGCCACAGTATCAGATGCAAAAGCCAAGTTGACAACAACTTGCAACATAGAAATTAGTTCTTCAGGGCCAACGGATTTCAACACAATCCCAATTGGTTGCATGATGTCTGATTTCATCAACTGCATTGCCACAGAAACATCAGCAGCAAGAGATGAAAGAGCCGAGCATGCTTGTTCAACCTGAGAAAAAGAAGAGAAATTTAGACGAAGTGCTGAACAGAAATTAAGAGAGCAGGATATCCAGCTGATAAAACTACAATCAGCTGACTTACCACATGGCGATTATCACTACTTATCATACTTATGAGCTGCCGGACAGCATTCTCGTCTTTGCCAACAAATACACGGTTTCCTTGGTCTTGGATTATCTTCGCAAGAGCAGATGCTATGAGTGGGTGATGGCAAGAAGAAAAACGAAATATAAGAGAGAAGAAGGCGCTCAGTTTGTGTCGAGATGCACCAAAGTAAGAACTGTTCTCCATCTGCCATGACCCCATATGTCAATAAAAACGTATTTTAATTTGACAGACCTAAAGTGGTCTATAAATTTTACAAGCATTTCAGCATCCTTCGATACCTCTATCTGCACATTCACTGATCTTAGATTTTCATCAGCTACTATTCTGATGTTCGCCAGAGACAAGTGGCGAAGTTTGTGTAATGGCAAAATTTCAGGAAGGAATTCAAGGGGATTACCAAACAGTCTAAGAACACGTAACTCGGACATAGCCCTGCAATTAAACTGAAGACAAATATTAGACCTAGAGAAAATAGGAGATACTAAAAAGTTCACTAAAAAATAAAATACATAGGCTAATCAAGGTCATTAATTGCTCATGAAATGACCTGAAATCAAGAAGAGGTCGGACAAGCTTGTTGTGCTCCAATGATAATTCCTCGAGTCCAATGCATTGTCTCAATTCAACTGATTACAGTTTCCAGCAAAGACAAGCAAAAGGAATAAGTAATACACATGCCCTAGACCTCCAGACTTAGAGGGTTTTTTTTTCTTTCTTTTTCTTTGGTTCATTTTATTGGACCATAAACAAATATATATGTGGGTGTAAAATAAAAGGACAATGCCATTAAAAAAACACACACAACTGTAAGCTTACCAGGTACTGAAACCAGCATATTGTTGTCAACCCTGAGAACTTTTAACTTTTTCAGATTGCCTAGCTCAGATGGCAAAACTGAAAGCTTGTTGTTATCAAGGTATAGCTTCTCAAGAAGTGGCAGCTGAGTTAACTCTACTGGCAATACCTGACAAGTGTGCAGTAATCAACTATAAAAAGGTTATTCCAATTGATAGAATACCTCAAAGGAAATACATTTTTAAATTTCTCAAGAATTGGACTAGTAGCATTTCTTCATTGACCTCTCATTTATTTTAAACTTCATCACAATTTCCCCTGACTAGATGTCATTAAAACCCCACTACAAGCCATGGTTTGAAATTCAACCCATTGTTGCTTCCCTTTCAGAATAGCTAGACTTGCTCTCTTTCCACTTAACCAACTTAATGTCAACAACTACCCAAAAGTTCAGATTAAAGACTGCAAAAGTCATTTTTAAGAGGTTATTCCTTGTTGATTAACTTAATTGAAAATCTACATAATTGAGTGTGATATAAACAACATCACAGCTTAGGCATCCATTCAAATCATAATAGGAACAGAAACTACTAAAAAAAATCATTCTCTTTTTTTGGCGTTCACAAGAACAAATAAGCATAAACTTTCACATCAAATCAAGAAAAACTGAAATTTTATCACTCGGATATTTCGAAATGAACCAAATCAATAATTTCAAATCTAAGTATTTTCAGTGTTCAGTATATCTTAAATGAAGTGAAATAAGATGCATAAAGAAAAAATAACAATAATAAATAAATAAAAACGCATAGCACCAATTTTTATCTAATACTGAATTCTTTAGTGGGATTGAATAATATTTAAACTTATTTTATATTTTTTCTGTTCATATCAAGCCTTCAACTTTATGCAATATTCAGTTTCCTATTTCACTCTGATGGATTCATTTTTTACTCATTAGGGTAAATGAAAAATTCCAGATATAGTTTTCTTCTAAAATTAGACATCTGCTCTCAAACTTGAACTCAGATCTGTTCTCTCAAGCCGAGCATTACCCAGTTTCTCTCATTCTCAAAATTACCACTAAACCAAGCCAAACCCAACAATTTAAGCTTCAATTTTATTTTTTCTTCAAATAGAAACACCAACCGTTATCACATTCAAAATCTTGATTTTCTTTGGTTTCCTGAACAAAACAGAAAGAAATCCAATATAAAAACAAGTCATAGAATTCAAAGAAAAAACTCACCGACAATCCACAACCATTGAGGTTTACCACAACAACACTCATCCAATGATTAGCAAAACCCACCACCCCATCTCCACCACTCCCAGACAAAGAAGTCCCTGCCGCTGCCCCCGGCGGCACAAAATTTGACTTCAACAGCCTCGTAAGCACTCCAATTCCTTCACTCTGCTGCCCAGAACCCCCAACCCTCATCAACCTCACTGCCCTAAGCGGCTCTCTCCGCTTCAAAACCTTCATATCCACACCCACATTGCCTTCAACCTCCTTCCCCGCCTTCAATTCCACGACCACCGAGTCCTGAGGCATTGGCAGAGCTACCATTATCTGCGATTGCAGCCTCAAAGCCACCTGATCTTCATCATCACCAGCCGTCCAATCAAGATCGATCCTAAACCCTAATTCTTGATCTTGGGGTGCCGGTGCCGGTGCCGATGCTGATGCAGCGGATTCCGATTCCGATGAGGACCTTGATGATGATGATGATGAAGAAGAAGGGCTGTGATCGTCCAGGGTTTCTTCGGAACCATAGTTAAAAGTCAAATGAAAAACCTCTGAAGGTCGCTTCCAACCAAGTCCCCAAGACATGGTTAGGGTTTTGCTACAATGACGATCTCATCAAACATCGAATTGAATTGAGAAATGTAATTCACTATTTTTTTTTAAATCAAAATTTAGGGTTTCAGAGAGAGAAACTGAGATTTGTAGAGAGAGAAAGTGAAACCGAACTACTATTATATTATCTATATATATGCACATGTTATCGTTACTTGTATATATATATATAATATCTTGTATATATATATATATATATAGTATATATGCATATCTGTAAAAACAATAAGACAACAAACTGTAGACAGTTGAAAAGAGGGAAAAAATGGTTCAAGGAATTACCTCAGCAGAGATGAACCCTTTCTCAAAATCAGTATGAATAGTCCCAGCAGCCTGAGGAGCCTTTGTCTGCCGTTGACACTTAGTTGATATTTCCCTCAAAAAAAAAAATATTAAGTAAATTTTTTTAAATTCTGAAAATACTTAATTTTCAAGAAATTGTTAAGCATGCTTACGCTTTTCAATCATTCATCACTTTTATTTTTTTAAATCTTAAAAAATCAAAATCAAAATTAAAATTAAAATTAGAAATGTGAATAATGAGAGCAATACCAAAGGGGTCTCAAAATTTCTTAATTTACGTTTGGATGATGCATTTTGGATAGGAATTTTTAAAATATATACATATATATAAATATATGAATGAAATATAATTATATTTATTTTTTTCCTTTTCTAAATTTTTACTTAAATATATAATCTAAATACAGCCTAAGAGTTTGAATTTTCTGCAGTTTCTCATCTAGTTTGAGAAAACAATTGAGTTTAGTCGGCTTATTTTGGAGACCTGATCTTGGTAATTCGAACCGTTTACTTTTTAAAATTTATTATGTAGAATATTCATCGGATATCGGTAACTATATGTTTAAATTATGTTTGTCTTAAAAAAATGAATGGGATTATTGAAATTATGAAACAAATGTAATTCAAATATATAGTTATTAATATCCAATCATTTTAATTTTTTCTATGAATATTTAACTCAACCAACCCTAAAAAACAAACAATTTAAATTATTGAAATCGGCCGGAAAATAGGCCCCAAACCTAAACATTTCTCAAATTGGCCAACGTATAATTTAAACCCAATTACTAAACCATTAGATTAAACTTGAATGAGATGTCTTATGTTTAATATTCAATGGCAATCTTTTACTTGCCACAAATTAACACAATATTTTCTCTTTAATTTTCAAGAAATAGTTAAACATGCTTACACAAAATGAAAACGATATGTAAAGCTTTTCAATCATTCATTACTTTTATTTTTTAAAATCTTAAAAAATCAAAATCAAAATCAAAATTAAAATTAGAAATGTGAATAATGAGAGCAATACCAAAAGGGTCTCAAAATTTCTTAATTTACGTTTGGATGATGCATTTTGGATAGGAATTTTTAATATATATATATATATATATATATAAATATGAATGAAATTAAAAATAAAAATTTCTTTTCTAAATTTTTACTTAAATATTTGATCTAAATACAGCCTAAGAGTTTGAATTTTCTCGAGTTTGTCATCTAGCTTGAGAAGGCAATTGAGTTGAGTGAGTTCATTTTGGGGACCTGATCTTAGTAATCCGATCCACTTACCTTTTAGGACTTACTATGTAAAATACTCATCGGATATCGGTAGCTATATTTAAATTATGTTTGTCTTAAAAAAATGGATGGGCATTATTGAAATTATAAAACAAACGTAATTCAAATATATAGTTATCAATATCCAATCATTTTAATTTTTCTATGAATACTTACCTCAACGAACCCTAAAAAACAAATGAATTAACTTACTAAATCTGTTGAAAAATAGGCCCCAAGCCTAAACATTTCTCAAATTAGACAACTTATAATGCAAACCCAATTACTAAACCATTAGATTAAACTTGAATGAGATGTCTAATGTTATTCAATGGCAATATTTTACTTTCCACAAATTAACACAACATTTTCTCTTTGCTATAATACTTAAATAAAATATATTGAAAGAAAATCTCAGGCTGCGTTTAGTAGAGTTTTTTAAATATGATTTGAGAATAGAGTTATATTTTAAATTTGTGACTTTTGAAATTATGATTTGAGTGTGAAAAATTTATTTGGTAAATGAGTTTTGAAAAGAGTTTTGAATTGAGTGAGGAATTTTTGATGTGACATATGATATTTGATATAAAAATTTACAACTCATAACCAAACGCTCAACTTAAAATTGTATTCAAAACACATAAAAAATTTTAAAAATTCGAAAAATATTTTTTATTGAATATATAAAAATTAATGTGTTAATTGCAAAAATAAAAATAAAAAAATTATGCACTGTTCCGTTCAATCGGCTGGACGACCGGTTAGTCTAAATTTTCTTACCTTAGACAGAATTTTCAAAAATGAGTGTAAAATTAATTTTTGAAAAATATAAACAAACACGGTATACAAATCAAAGTAAACAGAGCTTATTTTTTCTTTAATTAAAGTTGTTACTATTTTATAATAGCAGGCCAGCAGTGGGTCACTAAGGAACATGATTGTTATGCTTTGGTTGTTTTACTAATATTATTTCTCTTATTTTTACAAAAAGGTGAAATTTTAAATTAATTTATGTTCTAAAGTGACTTTAAATCACATTGCAAGCAAGACACCAACTAATTTATTAATAAGGAGTCGAAATTGAGCAACATGTTTGGCTTAAACTCAGAGCATAGCGAACTTACCATAATACTAATCAATTTAAACTGAACAAATTAGATTATTTCAACTTGAATTTTCACTTTTAAATCATTTTTTTTTTTTTACAGTCTTTCATGACTTTTAAATCATCTAGAATTAGAAAGATTTTTTTAACCGTCACAAAAGTTCATCGCATTGACCGTCAATGTAATTTGTTATATTATTTTCTTATCTTTTTCTAGTTTTCTTCGTTGACAAAATAGAAACTGAGAGGGTAATTTTTGAGAAAATTGGGCCGAGCTTCGAGTTGGGTTTTTAGGCCCAAAACGCAGAGGACTAGGTAAAAAGGCCGTACTGAATACTCCGGCCTAGAGGGCAAGGTTACTCCGGCCTTGGGGAGACAAAGTTACTTCGGCCCAAGGAGGTGAGTTTATTCCGGCTCAAGAAGAGATAGTTGCTTCGGCCCAAGGAGGAGTAAAGCTACTCCGGTCCAGAGGCAACTCGGAGTTAGGCCGGTCTCAGAATTAGTCCGGTCGCA